ATTACTCACAAATTAATTTCTTTTAACATTGATAACGCACCAGATTTTAATTGAGTAAGTCCCTACAATAACCAACCATATCGAAATCCTTGAAAAATGAATGTATGTATCACACAAAATTAAGATTAATCAGAATTTTTTAAAATATTTTTTAGATACTTATTCTCCTACATTAATAAATCAGTCAATTAGTATACTGTATCATATCACTATATAATAATGATCTATGAATCCATAGTAGGTGGGCTGCAGGAATGTAGTTTTCTATAACTGTCTCTACCCAAGATAAAAATGTTCAGTCTCTCATCGAGTCTCTGTGGTGTCGCTGAGAGAGACTATCAAAAAAACTGTTTAGCGTCTCTGAACGAGAGACTCGAGTCGCTCATAGAGAGATTCTCGTTTCGTATCCAGCCTCTAAACGAAAGACTCGAATCTGAACGAGAGACCCGAATCTCTCAAAACGTGGTGTCTCGATAGACACGGTTAAAATTTTCTAAGTTCTACATATTTCAGAGATCCCAGTCTTTCTACGAGAGACTCGAGTCTCTCAATTTTTCAGTTTTATTCTTTCAGTCTCTATGTGAGAAACTCGAATCATTGAGTTAACAATTTCATCGTTCGAGTCTCTCATACTGAGACTGTGAGAGATTTATAAAAACACCTAGGCAATAACTGAGAGTCTGTGAACGACTGTGAGAGACGCTCTCAGAGACGCTGAAAGACTGAAAGACTCTGAGAGACTCGAGAAAGACTGAAAATTTTTGTCTAGGGTACTCAAGATAAATTATTATCGAATTACCTAACTCTAACTAAAGGACCTACTTTAAATATCCAGGATGTTGTCGTTCAATTGGAATTTCTTAAAATTAAAAATCGCCGAATGACAATATTAAATTTATCTATTTTATCATATTATATTACCGGCAAATAATAAATGTGAAATGCTTTTTAAATTTATCTTATCTAAAATATACGATGATGCAGTGGATATTTGAATATTCCCTAAGTAATATAACCCCAAAGAGACTCACCCTTAATTATCGCAAAAAATATTGAGAAAACGGATACGTTTGTTGCTCACATTAAGTGAAGGCATTATCAACGTGAGATAATGCCCGCAATTCGTGTGGCTAAAACACGTGTCCATTTTTTTCCAAGTTGTTTGTGATAATTAGGTTTGTTCACTTACTTACTACAGTCTCTTTTATTCTTCTTCTTCGGGGTTCTTAATGATAGAACAAATTTTACAACATACGTCGGTTGGTGTCTCCTAGACAGACTTGCGTTTTGATACAAAAAAAGTAATCATTCTAGTGATTTCAGACAATAAATGTTATTTCGTTTTTATTTACAGTCCCCGAATACTAAAGTTTCTTTTGAATTTGCTAATAATTTCATTCACTATTTTTCTCATGGAGAGGCCTCCCCAATTCAATTTATTCTCGAGTTTTAGGCCCGTAGCCTGTTACAAAAGATTTTCTTCAAGGGCTGATCGGAATTGCAAAGCGTTAGTAGTCTTCTTGACCGGTTCTCGTCTACCGCATCTTTTATTCAGCACTTTTCGCAGTTCAATTTGATTATTCTATTTCTCAAATCATTTTCCTTTAGGATTGAGAACTAACAGGAGCAACTGTCAGAACAATTTGTCATTAAAGAGAAATGGTAGATACGTAAAGTAGACTGGGGTCTTGGGCCTAACAAAAAACAAACACCTAATACCTTTCTCATAATATAATACAAATAAAGGATTTTATGATTCTTTCTTTTGAATATCGTCATCTGTTACATCAAATAAAACGTAAACTATTAAAAAAATTCTATTTACTTTTAAAGTTCTAGTTCTTTTGCATAATCAAGAGTTAAATTTAGCAGGCAACGGAAGTTGCGCGCGCAGTCGTACGGTGGTAGTTTACGTTATCAGACTACCCGCGCTAGGTGTTAACTGCTATAGTCAAAATTAGCAACTATTTATATAAAAATTTATAGAATAAGTTAATTCATATCTTACGATTCCAAAGAGAAAACCGGACACGTTTTCTTCTTACGTTTTCCGGTACAATTAGTTTGGTTCTGTGGGAAGTATGTGGTATATTACGCGATTTTGTTACCGATTGTATATCGATTTTAATAATTTGTTTTCTATTGAATAAATTACCCCTCAAGCGACCTCATTTAAATTTGAAGAAATATTCCACCTCTTAGGGTATACAATTAGAGGATGATGTTTGTATTTGGTATTTTATAACTTTGTACTTACTTATCGGCAAAGTTTTGAAGATGGTCTCTATTTTCTATTGGAAGATGGTAATTATTCTAAATTGGAAAGTAGTTAGAATGTGATAACATTTTCCAAAAAGTAATTTAAACCGTTAATGAATATTCTACTTAGTTTCAAAAATAATTTGTGTCAAAAGACAAACTTTGAAATTTTGTTCGTAAGTAGTTTTGAAACTTTACATCTGCCTTTGATAGACGTAGGCTGAAAGACAAAAAGTAAATAGAAGGTGATCGTAATAAATACAAAAGTTTTGTTATTTGAAATAGAAGTGTGGGAATCAATAGAAATAGGCAAGACTTTCCCAGACATAAAGGGCTAGAGGCATATTAGAAGCAGAAACAGAATAACAAGAGCTGTTATAAACCTTGAATAGATTATTGTTAATCTCGAATAGTCAAAGATTAATTTATGCGTTAGAGGAAGGGCAAGTTCTGGAGTTTTGATAACTCTCACAATTATCGGCACTATTTTCTCTGAACGTCATGTATGGCAGAAAATTTTAGCATTTAAGACAATTTGTTATTGTGTCGATAAATAGAAAATAAAAAAATTATTCAAATAAATGTAAGTATCAGATTGAATTAAGAGGCAAAACCAAGACCAAAACTAGAACTATTTAAACAAGATCGAGACGAAGGCTGAATAAGCAAATAAAAATCCTATATCATCACCGGTTTCGTATAGGTCTTCGTCTTGTTTTGTTTTCTCATCACTATAAAAGAACCAATCGATCTTTTTGAAATTGGAATCTTTCAGGATCTTTTAGAAAAATGTACTGATGCGATAGGTATCAGTTTCGCTTTTATCAAGTCTTATTTTCTTCAATTTAGGATACAAAGATTTGTAATTGGTTTTCCACAAGAAAGCGTTAAAATTTCTTTGCCTTTTTACTTTCTTAACTCAATTTTTACTGGTACGGTCGATTTTTTTATCATGACAGTTCTGCGAAAATGCTTTTTATTTTTGGAAAGACGGCTCGAGAATCTTGTAAGACGTTTAAGTGTAAAATTTATTTTTTATTTTTTAATGACATCCTAGTATTGCGTCTTGAAGGTAGTTGGAGGGTAAATAGTACCTAATTATTTCACTACCTTTTATAGCATAAAACGGAAACTTTGTTAAACATTGCTTAACAATATAATGCGTAGTTTTTAAAGACTTAAGTTTCAATAATTTAGTATCTGATTAATTTTAAATTAATGGTGTCGAAGTTCTGATAATAAAACGTTTGCAAAACGTCGGTAAAAAGTTGACACCGGCTTTTGGAAATATTAATATTAGGTAGCTCCTAACCATCGTGTGAAACACCAATTTTTCGTTCTCATTTTCAACAATTTATTACGAATGTTACAAATTTTCATGTTCATCTAGGCGTAAACCTTTGTCTATTGTTACTTTTATATCCCAGCTCTTTGAAAGTAACAGCTAGAAAACTTATAAGTTTCCATGCTACATTAATAATAACTTAAATATTTTTTTCTTTTACTAATAAAGAAAAGTAAACTTCGTTTTTACGTTTCTTTTTCTTCCTCGGTTCGTCAATAATACGAAATAAAAATAAAAGGGCCCATTCGGATATTTACGATATATCTGTTGATTGAATAAGGACAAGATGAAAACTATGTATTTTGTTAGAAAACGTGACCCACGGAGGTGTTGAAAATAAGACTTCTTGATATAAATTAGATAAAGCACCATAAATAAAGAAATATAGAATTGGCAGAAGAAAAATATTCCTTATACAAAACAAATAAAGTAGATTTAATTTTTAATAAATCAATTAGATGATACTTGTCTTTTTGACAGTTTAAAGGATAGATATAATAGAAATCCATATCTAAAAAATTACTAAGTATAACTACGAATATTCCTTTCAAATTATATTTAAAGTGTACCTATTGCAGAAAATGTAGTTCCCTGCTGTACAAACGCCAATTAAGTAATTTTACCAATTATTATCCTGTAATTACGTTTATGTTATAAATATGCAGATGCATAACAAATAGGCCACAATAGAGACACTTTGTTAGGCATAACGCATATAATATCTAGTTTATTTTAATTAATACGCTATACGGTAAATTATCGAATGTCCTGAAGGTACTGAATTTACTGCTTTCACCAACTTCTAGTAATTAAATTAGTGTGAAACGCTGCACGTTTGTAATTAGAAAATCAATTTATATTTCGCTACTTTAATCAACTGGAAAAATCCATTGCCTTTTTCTGCCCTTATTGTAGCTTTCTTTGTTCGGATAGCAACATAATTATAGGTGCGCAGAAGAATCAGATGAGTAGAATGAGAATAATATTTTAAATTGGCTAATCATTATTACTAAGATGCCTTAATATAGAATATATTATTTTACTAACTAAAACGGTATTTCAATTTCAATGAGTAGATGGTTTTGAGTAGGTTTATGTTTTCCTGAAGTATGTTAATTATAAAGAACTGATATTTCAAACTTATTTTTTAATTAAAGAAGAGGGATTTCGGTAGGTATAATAATATTATTATTATCGTATTTAAAGGCAGTTTCGATAAAAATGAAAGAACGAAAAATTTCGATAGAAACCCAATAAAGACATTCCGTAGCACAAAAGAATCTTCCCAAGGTACGAGCGATAAATAAATGAGAAATCGAATTTTATTCATCTTTATCTGTACACCTGTGTATGCTGACATACCTCTGTAATAAAAAATATTATTTGAACTTCGCAGGCAATTTACAATTTATAATGGCCGACAGTAACATGTCAACAATCAAAAAAGCATAATGGCCGACGACAGCAACAATCAAAAAAGTATAATGGCCGACGACAGCAACAATGGATAAAGTGTAATGGCCGACCACAGCAACAATACGTCAACAATGAAAAAAGTATAATGGCCGACCACAGCAAAAATGACAGCATTGTCTATAGTCCAATAACGGATATGTTTACATTTTTTGGGTGTACGCTAATTAAATTCACATTAATTAAAGTTAAAATGACTTACCTTTATTATGCCAATTATAAGAATTATACTTAGGGCTATCGTAAACAGCTGTGTGCTGATAATTGTAAGATAGGCAACTTGTACTCCTGAAAAATAAGACCAAATAAATTTCAAAGTCTTTTTTTAAACATGTAATAGCTATTTTATTACGTAAGCTCCCAGTTCTGTAAATCATTCAAAAAGCAGTTCATTTACTCTAAAAGACGCATTGGTCTGAAATTTAAGAATAGAATATTCTGATTTTATATTCATGCAAAAATGAATACACTTAATTTTAAATTTTTTTAAATAAGTATTTGATTATATATTCATGCAAATATGTTGAACGAATTCTCGCTTATGCTCTCAAAAATGTGTAAATATGAGATGAGATTTTGACGAATCTTCAGTTCATCAGTGAACAGGTATAATGAACACAAGATGTGGGCGATGTTTCGTTGGCTTGGTTTGCCAACCTCTTCAGGTAAACATCAATCATGGAAACACTTATTAATGCTTTTGACTGTATATAATATTGTATTGATTGGTGTTTCAAAGTAATTGTCAAACCAAGCCAACGAAACGTCGTCATCATTTTGTGTTTACTGTTACTTGTTCGTACTTGTACCAACCTTTCTTAATTTTACGCCCTTTTGAATTGGAATACATTATCGAGGAATTTTATGAAGGTAAGAAACAGGTCATTGAAGATAACTTTGGGTTTGAAATGAACTTTCAGTTGTTATATGTACTTACAACAAACAAACAAACAAACAAATGAAAATAATTTATTAAGAACCTAAAGCCCTAAGAAAAGATTTTAATGAACAAACTTAGCTACTGCCTCAAAGTAGCTGTTTTCTTTGAAATTTAAAACATGGAAATTAAAAGCTTTGACGCAGTTGTAGCTTCCATCACACAAATGTTTAATCAAGAAATGGGCATTTTATATCACCCATTAATAGATACTTTGTTTGTATAAAAAAGTAGGCGAAATAGGTTGATAGGACACCTCAGACATAAAGGTCAAGTCAGATTCATATTAGAGGTAGAAACAGTAGTTAAGAGGAGTAGAGGTAGACCTAGATTAGGTTACTGTTCGCAAATAGTTAATGATGTAGGATGTTCTAGTTTTAGGGAAATGCGAAGATTAGTTCAGGGTAGGAAGGATTTGGAGGTGCATGTCCAACCCGTCTTAGGACTGACGACCTTATAATAATGAGTTTGTATAATGGTTGTAGGATTTAAAAGGATTTTTAAATAAGCGGTGGACGTGCCTGACATAACACGTTCATTACGTTCATAATGTGTTAAGATATCAAGGAAAACATATTTTTCTTATATACTTAACCAAGCCATTGAAGGATAATTTAATATTCAATCCCTAAACTTGTGAAAAGAAAGGAAGGTAATAGATGCATCAAATAAAACAATGCAAAATTTAGACGTCATTTTGCGCCGGGGGGTGGGGGGAGAGTCATAGGAAAAAGTTAAGAACGCTTACCATAATAAACGTCTTCTAAGAGGGTGTATTTTTTTGCGTTTACACCAATTCTCCAACTATAGATTAGAACCACAAGGATGGAAACGCTCTGTAAATAAAAAAATGTCATTTTATAAATATTAATATTTTTTAAGCACATGTTAGATAAGAAATTCACTGAATATTTACAAATAGAGTACATGACGCTCCAGAAACAACACCATATACATTATTAAGTATAAATATAAATTACTCAATAACAAATGCATTGATTTTTCCATTACGTGTAATATTTATTTTGATATAAGACAATTTTTTTGGTTCGGTACAGTTTCCGAGATTTTTCTCTTAACCTACTCGTCAGGAAGCCAAAAAAAGGTTCCATTCAGAAATATTACCGAAAAAGCGGCTTACTTCCGGCAAAGTTTGTGTCCGGCGTCATATTGTGAAGAAGGCGTCAAAAACAGGCTTTCAGAAATCCTTTTTTGAAATGGAGGCATCTGCGTCATGTTCTCGCTATCAGAATAAGATGTCGGCGAGACTCCATTCTAGAGAAAATATGTACAAAACCTTTTTTATAAAAAAAAATTCTTGTGAATATTATTGATAACTACTTTTAACGTATCTGCAGCGGAATTATTTTCAGCAAACCTGTTTTTGACGTCTTGTATCTTCTAAGCAATATGGCGCCAAATTCAGACCTCACCGGAAAAGGAAAATCGGGATTTCCATTTTGGAGTGAAAACGAAACTATTAAAGCAACTGCAAATTAATCGGTAAAATTTCCCTATAACTGTTTAATTTTCCGTTATTTTCTACTAAATTTGTCACAGATTTTAAACATGTAAACATATCTTGTAATAAAAGGCCTACTGTTCACTCTTCAAGTTTGACGAAACTGCATTTATCAAAGCAGAGCCGTATGCGGGATTCCCCCAAGCGTTTATTCCCTTTTAATTAATGATCTCTGACAATTTTACCTAAAGACGAACGATTCACGTGAAAAGTTCTCCCCATATTCGCAGACAATCAGAAGACGAATAGACGCGATTTTAGCTGCTTCAGTACCCTAACTATTTTTCACTTTTATTATGGCAGCTAATATTCGGAAAAACCCTTGAACCAAAGTTGTCGATAAAATATTTCTCGTATATGTGTAGAGAAGTAAACTGGTTTACTTCAGTCCCTGAAGAAGGTAACTTTGTTACCGAAAAGTGCTTCGGACAACTACAGTGTCGTGTTTTGGCGTTGGGGTTTTGAGCTATTCTGTTTGTTCTACTAAACAAGAACTATCCCTAATGCATATTTATTGAATAAGATATTAGCTGGAATTAATTTGATTGACGTATTGTAAGAGATTTTGAAGCTCATTAAATATTCATACCAATTTTCTGATCGATTCCGGCTATTTCACAAGTAGCAGCATTATTACAGAGCGCTGTTTATCTTTAATCAGTTTCCATACCTCCGAGCCTATTATCGGCCTTTTGTGATTTCAAAAATTCAGATAGGCTTCAACATCATAAGCCCGTTGATTCTTTAAGCTCTGATACAAAGCAGGGGATTCCCAAAAATTAACAAAGGTTTCTCATACGACAAATATTTGTTGTTACAATGAAATTAATACAGTAGAATCTTAAAAAGTTAAAGCCAAATGGACGAAGGCGCGAAATGGACCCCACTGATGGTACATGATGATGTATGAAGTCATTTTTATTTTCGGATATTTCAATATAATATTATATTGTCAAACTCTGATTTATTTATCGAGTTTCTACTAAAGCATAGGTAAAATGTATCAAGTACGATCTAAATCGTTTAAACTTTATATTACCATAAAACAATGATGATTTATTTTGACATATGTAAATATGTTTGCCTGTGTAGGTAGGTGCGTTATATCCCTGTCGAAAACAACTAAACTTTTACCTGAGTTTACCTGAAAGCATTCCCAAACAAAGACAAAGCGTTTGTGCTTCCCTTTTTTACGTTCTACGAGGAAAGGAGCAACCGTAGAGGTTAGCAGATAATACTTTTTGATTTATTATCACGTGTCACATGGGAATTTTCGAATTACTGTGAAAGCTTCCAAAGCTTGCAGTCAACAAATCGAAACCCGTGATAATTCAAACGAAAGAGAATACCGTTGAAGCGCAAGCCATCTTGATCAGCAGAAGTCAGCACACAAAAGGATTGTGTGAAATGTCAAAGGTAGAATTATTTCCGTTTTTTAATTGATGAGGTTCTAACTGGAGAAACCTGAATTTTAAAATACGAAAAAACGCAAGTTTGAACTAATTTTCGATTAACTTTCGATAAATATCTAAAAAGAATTTTTCTGAAAAATTAATACCTTCTAAAAACATTTTTCGTTTAAAAATGCAAATGGTGATAAGATCCCTAATTTACAAGACTTCTGGCGTTTAAAAGAAACTGCTGGACTGATTTGTGTGTTACGAACGCCTATCACGTTTTGCACGAGACGTCAAGTATAAATTCTACCTAAAACCGCGAACTTTATCTCAACTGATGCGACTGGAATTTCATTTTCAAATCAACCCCCTTTACTTTATGAGATGCGTATTTGCATTTGTTGCTGCAACGTCACGTCCACAAGCCAATGCTGGAAAGAATGCATTGTCATGAATATTAGAACGTCCAAGTTTACGAGCAACTTTAATTTATTCAGTGGCGCATGTATTATTAAATTATTTAAACGGCGGTAGGTTCACATTCACATAATAGAGCAAAATCGCCGAATTTTGGATACCGCATTATCTTAAAGCTTTATTGTGATCCTGGACATTAAATTTCTTAATTTCACAATACAACAACTAAGAAGATTACCCTAGTCTCTTAACAATAAAGTTAAAATTATGAAAAATAAATATAGATAATAAATAATAATAATAATTCATACCTACAAGGAATGCATTTCATATACAGTGTAAACTCTTTATAACGTCACTCGATTTGACGACAAACTCCTTAAAACGTCGATATTGCTTGACTTTGGTTGGTTTACATTGTTTTCTATACAATATTACACTCTATATAGCGTCTCGCTCACTCTATTTAACGACAACAATGCGGCATTATAAATCATTAAGCAGTACTTTCTAAGTTGCCGAAATAGATAAGAACTGCAGCTGTGTACGTTGTTGAAGAAGACGATCCTGTCCCTCCACCAAGCATCAAACAAGCACTTGATGCAGCGAAACTATTAAAAAAATACTTTTTATATAATCAAATTGATCCAGCAGTATCTCAAGATATGAGTAAGATACGTAACAAAATACAATTAAAATATTGGAGCAGCAAAAAACATTAGACGAAGATAACAGGCTATACGCAATGTATGAATAATAATGTTCGTGTGCAAAATGTGTACTATATTGGTAAATGTATATTATAGAATAGTAAAATAATATCTTTTATTTCTCTCCATTTAACGACCACTCTTTATAACGCCGAAAAATGTTCAGTCCCTTAAGTGTCGTTATGTAGAGCTTACACTGTACATAAATCCAGCCAAAATAAACAAAATTGATCAAGACCAAGATTAAAACTAAGACTAAACGAGCAAGACGAAAATATGACATTTAAAGTGTACAGCAAATAGTTTAAAAAATGTTATCTCAATATTTCCGGTACGTATTTCTGTAGGTAACCGATTGATGTGGTTGTTATTTTGACTTGAAACAACTCTTGGTTTCCGTTAAACTTATATGGAATAAGCAGTAGCATTTTCTCTGTTTCAATTAGCAATAAGCTTCAAGAGCTAGGCGAACCGTGGAAATTTGTGTACACATGTAGTCGTTTGTTCCCGGCCTCAATCAGATAAAAGCAATCGGGGAAAGTACAACGGAGAAAACAATGTAATGCTTTGGGGGTGAAGTCGAGTCCCCGCGAGACATTTCTGGCACTTGATTACGATAGCAGAAACGTTCGGGCAGAATTGCCGCTGCAAAACTCACCAAAGTGTAAATGGCGGCAGTAAGAGCCGTTTGCTTGGGATTCAAAAGACGGCAGCAACACGAACGTCTAAAGACCAGACTTTCATAAGGGTACAGGAGGGAAGACTTCATTGCTCGGACATGACAACGAAACTGAAACAAAACAAACAACAATAAATGCTTGTTTGGCACTGACACATTATACGTAAAACAAACTACAACTGTTAAATGTTACAAAAGGGAAAACTATGCTGTGTAGTATGTGTTAAATTTAGGTCAAAGGCGACTGAATGTTTCGTATCTATTGTCTCAAACAAGGATTTTGCACAAATGTTTCTTTTTTTATCATTTAATCAAAATTTTTAATTAATAACCACTAATTTCACCGTATTCGAGATGGAACTAAACAATTGCAGTTAAGTGTGGCGGGTTTAAATGCCTACATCCGATATTCAGTCTGGATGGTGCATTTTAAAGTTTACAGCTTTATTTAAGCAAAGGTTTACTTAAATGGCGATACCCACTGTCAAAATTTGGACGGTTTCAATTAGTTATTTTTATAAAATCCGTCACGTATTTAGGTACAACAGATTTGGCTTAAATATTACGTTCTATTAAAATACCTGTCAACGTTTTCATTGAACAACAAAGAAATTGGGGTGATAAAGTAATTTTACTAATTATAACGATATACTCCCCGGTTCTAATTACGCTAGATATTGATACGTAATTAGTCTCTCGAACCGTTAAATTGAAGTCGAAATTGACATTTGGCATGTATATACATAATTAACACAAAGTTAATAAAGAAATTCGATATCGATTGGCTGGATAGACTGTAGATATTATTTTGAAATGTTTAGTATTTGTTAAATGTTGACGCAACAGAACTGTACTAATTAATACTCGCATTATTACTAATTATTAATATCCAATGAGTACATGTGATGTAATAAAGCAAGGGATCAAAGATTTATTAGAATAGTACAAAGAATTATCTGGAATAGTCAGAAAATAAAAATTTATCCTAAAATAGAAGGGGAAATGGCACCTTAATTAATTGCGCAAATTAGCCTGAACTAGTCTCTGAATTAGTCTCTCGCAGACTTTCACAGTCTCTCAGGTATTGCCTAGGTGTTTTTATGGATCTCTCACAGTCTCTGTATGAGAGACTCGAACGATAAAATTGTTAATTCAGAGATTCGAGTCTCTCACAGAGAGACTGAATGAATAAAACTGAAAAATTGAGAGACTCGAGTCTCTCGTAGAAAGACTGGGATCTCTGAAATATGTTGAACTTAGAAAATTTTAATCATGTCTATCGAGACACCACTTATTGAGAGATTCGAGTCTCTCGTTCAGAGATTTGAGTCTCTCGTTCAGAGACTGGATACGAAATGAGGATCTCTCTATGAGCGACTCGAGTCTCTCGTTCAGAGATGCTAAACAGTTTTTTTGACAGTCTCCAGCGACACCAGAGAGACTCGATGAGAGAGGGAAACTCGAGTCTCGCTTTCAGATACTCTGAGAGACTGAACATTTTTATCTCGGGATACTAGGGATATTGGTATATGATGTAGGTCATACTTGCAGAGATAATAAAACAAGTAAATATCAGTCCTGCAATATTTATTAACATAGATTCGTTTTTTAATAAAAAAAGAGACATTTGGGTGAGGTATTTTATGAATGGTTCCTTGGGAATGATCAATCTCGCCTTTGTCGTTTTACAATGTAAAATCATCATATATAATTCATGTCGACACAGTATTTTATTACTCGTCGTATGCGTTCTTTATATCTTGCATTAGTTTCTTTTGTTGCTTTTTCGAATAAGAAAACGTCAGTTAGTTTCCCTTTTGGGTTTTCAAAGTCGCCAATCGGCAGGTCTTCTTCCTCCGATGCAAGTACCATACTGTGAATGACAACCGTCGAAAGAATTAAACCGAACTTTAAATATATCTTCCAATGCGTTTCGAGAAGGGAAAAAGGAAATAACTTGTCCCCGTCACTTCCGAGCTCTCTCAAGTATCCGGATAAACTGTCGTGATAGATTTTTAAGTAATTGTGCATTTGGTCAAATGCATCCTCTGTACAGGCGGTGAATAAGAAGTAGCTTAACTCAATAGCCGGAGATCCCAATCGCGAATGCTGCCAATCTATAAACGCAACGCGGTCTGGAATTTTATGCTGATCGTCCTGAAATTTAAAACGGAAATCTATTTCTTGAATTAAGAAAGGAAGTTTTAGATTAAAAGTAACTATATTCTGCTATTTTATGGAATATTAATTGGAAAATTCATTCTTAATTTTTCCTCCTATATGTTATAAGTTGACGTAACTTATAAGGGAAAAAATTAACAATGAACTTTAAAATTAATATTTAATATTAACCACTAGTAATTACAATGTAATTTATAAGAATGTTTTTAGTAATAGTCATAACTAGATTACGTTGTTTTTATTAATTTTCATTGATGAATTTGTGTTTAAATAGAACAGAAAAGCTATTCCAAAAGTCAGGCAGAATTACTTGTACTGTAGTCAAAAAAATTTTCCCAGATTTCGAGTCAAATCCAATCAGGACTTTAACGTCCACTAGGGTGGAACTAAAGCTATTATTACAATTCTCATTATTCAAAATATACAATGTAATTTAAAGATTATCCAAATATTGTACAAATAGAAATTAAAACTTAGGGAAAGACATTTGAAATAGAAAATACAAATACGTACTTTTATTTTAAATACATAGAACTATTTTATATAAATATTCACCAACATTTTTTTTCAAAAGCGTATCTAAAATTGTTCAAATGAAGCTGTGCATCTCCAGTTAATATGAGGGATGTGTATATGTAAATATATATGTATGTATAGTATCTATATGTATGCCTGTAAACTATTTTAAGGTGAAGTGTCAGCTTACTTTTGCTGAAGCTGTCATTTACACTAGACGGCGGGAAGTACAGGGCAGATAATAGGTAGCAACCCTATCTATATTTTCATCCATACGAGTACATTGCAGTCGAGCGACTCTGCATTATTAGGATATGCAAAGAATCGGGATACAAAAGAAAAGAAAACCATTTGAAAACCTCCATGCATAATAGCTTTTGCTTTGTAGGGATTATTGTCTAGTATATTTGAAAATATTTCCACGTCTATTGAAAAAGACAATAAATAAATTTACCGTGATGTTACGCACTGCCTCTTATTAAATAGTACACACAATTCAGAAAATCTGGAATAGTCAAGGAATAAAAGTTTCTGTGAGAAGGCTACAATGCAAAATATGTGTGAGATATAAGCCTAGTGTCATATTCTTTGTACCAATAGATAAAAGTTGAAATCAAATACGAAACAGAGGGAAATAATAATGTTTTGCACTTTATAAAACATTCATTTGACGATTCTGGACTGATAGTCAAGAAAACGTTCAGACAAAGAGAACTCCTCAGGAAAAGCTCAAGAAAAAATTGTAGAGTTTGAAGGTACGATGCATACTCTGGAATAGTCAGGGGATATAATTATATCTAGAATAGTCAGAGAAATATGAGAAAAATCTGACAATAAAGCTTTCGTCGAAATAGTTTAGGAATGAATTTTTTTCTGGAATAGCCTCGAAATTACGATATAACTTCTTTGAAATAGTCTAAAAGTTCTTCCCTAATTTCAGAGACAAGAAAGGCTTAGAAAGAATTTTACTATTTGCATGGCACTAGGTTATAAAGCGTTGAAAATATTAGTTGATACACAAAACTGTGTAAGCAGTCATGAAATAAGAGACGTAAGCATACGTATGTTGTGGTAAAAATGTCATTGTATAATTTTTTTGTACGAAAGTTTAAACTTACAGATAACATAATCTTTTGAATAGTGTTTGGTGTAAAATCAATAAAAAAATGTCTGCTTTTGTCATGAAAACTGTGCTTGCCGTGTTTATTCGTAATATGTACTATGCGTACCATGTAATGGAATAATAAATTGTTTGACCAGCAGTCACCATGTAAAATGGCCATCTCGTTATTATGTGCTTCGGGTATGTTCATTATCCAATTTTTAGCTTCGAAGTTGACGAATTTCTCGAATTTTTCGCGTAATAACGTGTCTTCTTCCGAATCAAACAAATCGGCAGTTCTTTTACACTTTTCTTCCAGTATATCATAAAACTTGGAAACTGTGTACACGTGTTTTTGAATGTTTGTCGCTCCCTTTTCTAACAGTTTAAACTTTTCCGGTTGTTGTGACCGATATGCAAATGATAGGGCGTGAAATCGGCCCATCGCTTCCAATGAGATGCGCAAATGATGGTCATCCAATCCACCCGTACCCTTTAACATATAAAAACCCTTTTTCGAAATATCCTCTAAAACAATCCTTTCATTCATTTCATTGTCATCTGCCCGGAAGCATTTCGCTAATGATTCCGTGAACTTCCTGTCGACTCCTTTCTTTGTCTCAAACTTTCTAAATTCCGCGAGGACGACATTGTAAAGAAACTTTTCTCGTTTAAAAACGTCGTTTACTGGAAAACTGCGCCTGATGAATTCATGCTTAGCGGCAGCTTTACAAAACAAATGTAACGCCTTGTTTTTTCCGTCTTTTGTCGATCCTTTGAGCGTCAGCCGTGTAGGCTCTCCCATGTATCCATCTACTGTGTCATTGTTTTTTACAACAATCTCGTATCTGCCGAAGTTCTCTGACCTGGCGATATCCGGCACAAAATCTGTATAATTTGAGTCCAAGTCTGCAACATTCATAGCTACTGAAACAAATCAGAAAGAAAACTACACATCACAACGACTCACTGTGTTGTTATTAGCAGTATATGCTGTTTAAATTTATATACATATGTCTAATAACTAATCATCATCAACATCACTGTTTTCTATCCTCAACTAATCTTCGCATTTCTCTAAAACTAGAACATCCTACATCCTTAACTATTTATGAACAATAATCTAATCTAGGTCTATCTCTACTCTTTTTAACTCCTGTTTCTGCTTCTAATGTGTTTCTAACTAGTCCTTCATGCCTGAGAAGGTGACCTACCAACCTATCTCGCCTATTTTTTATTGACTTCCATAAAGTTCTCTATTCTCCTATTTTTTCTAATTCCTCTTTATTCTTAACAATTATCTATCCATGGTATCCTCATCATTCGCCTGTAACACCGCATTTCGAACGCTTCTAAGTTCTTTTCAATCGCGCCCAGCATACACCTTCAACAATCTTTCTTGAATTTCTAAATTAACCGTTCGCGAGCATAGAAGTGACTTCTTTTTATTGAAGGCGATTCGATCGTGCTCTATTCTCTGCCTTATACCCTACTATTCCTTCCGTCCTGACTTATCTGACTTCCTAGAAACCTAAACTCAGCCACATCTTCTAATTTTTCATCTCCTATCATTAAATTCACTCCTCCCTATTGCTGGATACATTTTTCCATACAAAGATTGTAATAATGTATCGAACGCGAAGTTCAAATATCTAATAAGGAAATTGATAGCCGGTACATCAAGTACCTACTTAATTACAAATTATTATTTATCAGTGATACCAAACTATCCACCAAATTTTGTGTACCAAATGTATTTGATAACACTGAACAATGCATACGGATCATCGCGCTTTCTCGATTGTCTTGGTTCGGTTATAGACCTTAAAAATTTAGGTCACATTAAAAATTAAAGACAACTTAACAATAACACGGAACGCGGATTCATAAATTGTAGGTGTCTGATTAAAGCTTTAAAGTACATGGATATAATATGAAACTCTCTCGTAAGTACGTGTAAATGTCTTCTTATCACAGGTTAAATATTATCGTGTCCATAATTAGAATAAAAAACAGAGTGACATCAGAAACACCTAAATTCCAATACGTTATAAAAAAAAACTTGTTGCCAAGTTGCTTTGTTTAATAAACTTCGCATAAAGGAAACTCCGCATTAAATGAACAGAATAGGCCACCGTATACTAAGAACAAATTTATCCTTCCCTTATAGAAATGAACGTCAATTGACTTTAATCTTTCCCCGTAACTGTGGCTCGTGCCTATTTACTTTAGAGATGTTCTATTCCTATGTTCATTTTATATGAGTTCAAAATTCGTCAATATTAAAAAATCCTAAGAAACAAACAATAATAATTAACACAAGGACCAAATTTACACCACATACATTTGAATTACCGTTATCAATAAAATTTGATATCCTTTCTTCGATCTTTCGATTAACTGGCTCAAAATTAAGTTAAAATGTTGTTTAATTTAAATTAAAATGTTTATTTCAAAATGTAGTGACTATATCGAAATTGCTTGAATGTTTTACTAAAACACCCTTGAGTGAGTGTATTCCTTTAATTAAATGAAAATTACAAGCATTGGTTTCGGTTCTACATGCTTATTCAATTAAAGAAAAGCGTCAAGTTTGGGAAAATGGAAAACTGAACTAACGACGCTTTCTCCAAAATGTAGACAAAGTATCGCATCTTACGTATAATTAATTATTCAACAATGAATTAACACGCTACATCGTTAAATATTTAATAGCAATACATATTTCCGAAAGAAAAAATTTGCTTTCTTGGTTGGTACAATATGAAGTATTTTGAAACATTAAGGAAATAAAACTGTCTTGCTTTTCAATGTTTGAATTTATTTAGAATTTTAATCCGGCTTTTTAGGCCTTTGTAACTGAGCACTCTTAATAAAGACCTAAAAGCCCAAAATATTTATAGAGTAAAACTCTAATTGAATTGAAACATTAAAAAGTAAGATGGTTTTACTTCATTAATAATATTTTTATTTAACTTTCTCTTTACTAATTTTTCCAACTTTTTAAAAGTGTAAATAAAATATATATCTTTCATTTTCATATATTAGGCAGTATTGATCACAATTTCGCTTCAACGTTCTATTACTTTCTTCTGTAAAAAAAATAAAGCCTGTTCACATACCTGAACCACACTGTAACAACTGACAAGCATAGAAATACTGGTTATACTTTTTAGTTATTTTTCCGGTGCCCTTAATTTATATAAAATTACAACGCCCGCTTCTTTAGCAAATAAGATCTCAACTTTGCAATTTTTTATTTTATCTTTTATTTTTTGTTTATTAATCAAAGCAATTCGAGTGATTGCCCTTTGTTTAAAAAAGTAAATACAGATTTTTTGCAAAATGGGTACATGAAAGTATGTCAGATAGAGTTACATAATTATTAATATGAAGTAATTTAGATAGTACAGTGTGTCCATATTTCGATACTCAACAGTGGTAGGTGTGAGTGCTTTGGTTATCAAAAAATATGAAGCAATGGTTAAATGGGGTATATTTTTGCAGAATTCAATGCTCGCAACAAATCTCATTTCAAATTTATTCTAATCTTTCTCCGTTTTGAGATATTTTTCTATAAAAGCTAAAATTTGCCCATTTCAGTTTTCCTTAGTAACTCCATAACACCAAAATTGCACGAGCACTTTTTTTATTTTGGTTCGAAGTTGATGTTAACTGAGATGTCTTCGTTTTAATTGGTTTCCCAATTATTATTAACGCTATCTGCCATTCATCCTATGGCGATCGTGCTGAAATTTTAAATAGTTAGAAAGTCTTTAAAAAAAAACTTTTCAATAATCTGTAACATGCCTAATGGATTCTTATTTATATAAGGTGTGCAAACTAAATTAACTGTAATACAAAATTAACAGACTATCAAACAAATGATAAGTTCTGGCACCATTTACATGTAAAAGTCTAAGGAATCGGAAGATTTAAAATTTTATTGGTAATTAAAAAAGTAATTAGCGTTAAAGTTTATGAACATGCAAAATGTTATTAACAATCCAACTACATTAGTTTATCGAGTAGTTCAGTAAAGTGGAATATTGAAGTGTATTGTTTTAAAATTAATTAATAAAATCCAAATATCCCACCAATTATTCCAATTATACTTGTCAATAATGTCATTTACTTCGCATTGCTGTTGTATTTCTTGGTCTTCTAATTTTGTTCATATCTCTCATATAAATAAATATTTATTAGGCATATTGTGCATTATTGGAAAGCCATTTTTAAATGATATTTAGTTAATCAAAAATTTAATTTGACAGCCATAAGAAAAACAAAATAGAAAAAAATTAGTTAAATTTGAAATGAAATTTGTTCTTTGCATTTAATTCCGCAAAACATTCCCGATTTATTAGTTGTTCTACCTCTTCTAATAAAAAAATATACCAACCAAAGGTGAGCGTCGAAATGTGGACATACTGTATATACATATACATTTTTTTACTGATTGCAAATATTAATTAGCTGATAAACAGACCGACGTATGTTTAATAATTATCGTAATGGAACCACACGGAATCCTACTGACTGACGAAACTTTCATACACGTGTAGAATTTATGAAACACAGAATAAGATAAATGTGATTTTGAAAATTTTTATCTGTCGTTTGATAAATATTTGTTCATTTTTTTATTAATTAATTAAATTATTAAAAGGCTCGGAACAGTTTTATTTCTGAAAGTGTTTAATACCATTTATTTGTATGAAGCACTGCTTCTAGGAAGAATATTTTTAAAGTAAAAAAAAAGTAAACAAACTGAAAAGATAAGAAATTGTTAGGCGTTAAATTGTTAGAGTATGTGATGTACTGCAATTGTTTTTTAACAGAGGAAATTACTGAAGGGGTCACTTGTATTATCTGAATAATTAACAATGACAATCCTTAAACTGATTCTGTTCGTATTCGTGTAGTACCTAGTTAGCGGCCTGTGCCTCTTGATAAGATTAACATCAGGTAATCTCCAAACATAGATGTCCTCTATTACATCCTTCATTCATCTGGTAAATGCAGCGGTTTCGGCAACGTAAATTAACAATCTCGTTTGGCGTTCAACATGTTTCAAATATACAATGCATGATGCAATAGACATCAATTAAATTACCTGCCCGTCGATATCGATGTGCATTTCGTGTCGTTATACGTACGGGGTATTAAAAGATTAGCTCTAAGAATTTTGTGGAGCTAATCGGTATCGATAATATACCTATTGAACAACATTCGCAAAACAACTTTTGTTGTGCTTTGTATGAAAAACTTCGAATTAAGTTTGTCAGATATTCCAAAGGTTTTAGGTGTTAAACGAAAGGTATGCACCCCATGGGCGGACCTGGTGCAAGCCCAAGGAAATAATAATGACTTTCTTAGTAAAAATTACAGTCTCCTTTACTTAAGTTTCATTAGAATTAAATATTTACCAATAAAAAGTTAGAATTAACGTTGTAAAATATAGTATGAACTTTTGTTTTTTACGAGTGATGTTATTTTGGAATATCGATTAAACTAGACCACCTTGCGTATCCCTAAAAATGTATACCTATCCCTTTAATTTGCAAAATCGTAACTTCAAACGTTGGTTTAGATTAATCGATTCATTTCCGTGTACATTTAAGCATTAATTTGGACGTGTGAGCAGTCGGTGTAACGTACATGCATAGGTTGTCTTAATGACAACTTGTATTCGTTAAGGTTACTATGCTAGACAGACAGCTAAACACGTCAACGCCCCGACACTAGCGACGCTGGCGTCTCTGTAGTAAGCTGGGTGGATATTTTCCCGACGTCCCCATCACTGTCACCTTGAAAACTATTTATCCAGGGTAACATTTCGAACATAATTCTTGAGATACAATCTAAGACCGTAGCTTTTTAAAAATATTACATAGGTAAATAAAGTAAAGTCGATAAGCAAAGACGTGCGTGATGTATCTCCTGATTATAAACAACAGTTTTGTCATAAGGAAATTGATAACATAATATGATATATGATTCCGCTGCGCCCACTGTCCATGTTTCGCACCCGTACAACGCCGTGTTGCAAACATACACCTTTAACAACCTTTTTCGAATTTCTAAATCAACCGTTCGGGAGCATAGAAGTAATTTCTTTTTATTGAAAGCTACTCGACCCCCTGAACTTTCCTCTGCTGTGTATCCTTACTACTCCTTCCGTCCTGACTTATCTGACTACCTAGATACCTAAATTCGTCTCCTATCTTTATATTCGCTCTTTCCCTACTTTTTCTTCCCTTGCATACCAGTATTTTTGTCTTACTTGAAAGAGGCAAAAATACCACTGTGAATTAGTCGAAGACGTAGAACTATTTCCCGTGATGACTAACTTCCAAATAGGACAATAACTATTTCAGGTCTTTAATTGTTAGTGTTACCTGCTTTCGTCACACAGTTTAACCCTTTGTATTGCCAAGAAATACCTAAAGTTAGTCGACAGAAATTATATTATTAGGTTGTCATTTAAACCAAATCAGTATTTGGTGACCTTATACAATATTAAGTTTCAGATTTCCTTTTAATTCTTTAGGGAAACGTAACCTTATACGTGTGCTTGTTGTTGAAATTTCATCTGTTTTCTTGGTCCGCTTTCATGCTTCTAGGAAGGTACGAAATAAATTCTAATTAAGTATTTCTAAAATTATTACACTAGATACTCGGTTGTTTCGTTGATTAGTGGGATGGAACGCGAGGGCAGTCCGACCCGACCCTTTTTAGATGACTGCTACATTTTTTAGTTCTTTTTCGAGCAATTTTCCCGCATTGTGATTACCCAAGTACGTAAATGTTGCATTACTAAACTGACTCACACATTTCAAAAACTTTCCAACTAACTACATGAAATAACTAACTTCCTAAATGTTCCCATGAATAATAATTGTTATAATAGAAACTTCGTAATACCGTTTAGCATTGCATAAAACGTAGATTATAATAATTTAATGGAGCCTCTCGGTGACAACGCGTAATCATTTTAAGACTTTAACTTCAAAGTTTTAAGCTACGTATATGTCCTTAATACCAACAAGTCTTCACAATGAAGATCTGGCGGTAAAAATAACAAAAAGGGCTTATAGTAAACGTTTTATTTCAATAATCCTCCCCCATTTATATCGAATTTAATAAAATGTTACTTTCATTGCCCGTGAATAATGTATTAGGAGCCTAAAGCAAACGGTTGTCATTGAATTTTTAAAAAGGAAAAGTTTTGGTGTTGCTCGACCCTCGGTCATAAAAGGGCGGAAAATATTTATGGTAATAACAGAGAGATACAGAGAGGTGCGTGGATGAATAATTTGAAGAGGAAGAAATTAAAATCAAACCGGCGCAAAATTGAATACGGCGATGGAAGAAGTGCTACGTTTCTAAAAGCTATTGAAGCTTCATTATCATCATAAGCTCATCAGTCCTAAGACTGGTTGGACACGTACCTCCACTCTTTCCTATTCTGAGCTAAACTTCGCATTTCCCTAAAACTAGAACAGCCCACATCCTTAACTATCTTCGAAGAGTAATCTAATATAGGTCTACCTCTACCCTTCCTAACTCCTGTTTCTGTCTCTAATATGTCTCTGACTAGACCTTCATGCCTGAGAAGGTGTCCTACCAACTTATCTCGCCTATTTTTTATTGACTTCCATAGAGTCCTCTGTTCTCCTATTCTTTCCAATACCTCTTCATTTCTAACCTTTTCTACCCACGATATCCTCATCATCCGCCTATAACACCACATTTCGAACNTAGTACCCCGTTCGGATATCCGAGCAGGGACTACCTCGGGGGATGTCATCAATAGGTGTAATAGGGGTAGGTGCCATATTTCACGAGTAGGAGCGTGGAATGTTAGGACAATGAGGCCGGTAGGGAAACTGGAAAATTTAAATGTTGAAATGAATAGATTAGAATTAGAGATAGTAGGCATTAGTGAAGTACGTAGGCAGAAACGAAAGTTAAGATGGGAAGATGTAGACCTACATTAGATTACTTTTTGCAAATAGTTAGTTTTAGGGAAATGCGAAGATTAGCTTAGGATAGGATAAAATGGAAGTGCATGTCCAACCAGTCTTAGGACTGACGACCTATGATGATGATGTTGATGAAGTGAAAAAGCGTTTTATTTCAATGGAGATCTGAAGAATCTGCTTTTGAAACGGTCGATTATGACAATAAGGTCTAACAAACTTACAAT